GACCCAATTCCAATTTAATCCGACACAAACTCATCTTCATAACCTGTCCACTCGCCCATTTTGATCCAGGCTGTTGATCATTCAGATCAACGGCCAACAACCATCCTTGCCTTTTTTAATTCAAACGACCCCTAATCCTAGCCTCCTTTACAAATTCTGCCGCCTCTGAATCCCCTTCCCTCTCAACTCTCTCTGCAATCCTCTCAAACCCTAGCTGCCGCCATCAACTACAACCCTAATACCTCTCCAAATCTATGGTTCCCAAAGTCATCGGAGACCTATATCCACCTCCCATAGCTTCTACGTGTTCGATTCTTATGGTCTCAAGGCTAGATCTCGAAAAAGCTTGGTCCAGGCCTTGTTCGATTGCAGTTCATGATTGTTCTCCGATCGTCTCTGACTTTTTCTCCGGCCAGCCAAGGCTATTCGAGTCAGACTCTTGACTCTTCTGCTTAGATCGTTGGTTTTCAAAGCCTTTCTCACCACTTGGGGTTCTTCTAAAACCCTAGCCTTTAAGGTTCTTTCAATTTCTTTTTAGATCTGCTTCAGATCTATGTTTGCTTTGAACTTCTAAGCATTTCTCTCAAATTTTCTTTTAAAACTCTGCCTTCAAAACCCCTTATCTTTTCGATTAGGGTTTCTGTTAAGTTATTTCAAAATGTTTCTCTGATTCTTTAACATGTTTGGCTATGTTTACTTATATCGTTCTTCTACCTGAGTTTGCATGTTAAACCCCTAATTTCTTTTAACTGTTTATTAAACGAATGTTTGTTTGCCTGAGTTTTGTCAGATTTGTTTGCTTATTCTCTTTTTAAAACTCTTCTATTGTTGAAAATCCCAGGGTTTTGGGTCTGACTCGATTTGAAGTTCTTTATTTCAAAATCTTTAGTTCCCTTTGTGTGATTCTTCTGCTTATTGGGTTTTTGTCTTCTCTAAAACTCAAATATGCTCGAAACCCTAATTTTTCTAAAGGGATTTTCCTCACCTGCTACTGTGAGACCTTCACATGCTTTTGATATCCTATGTTTTCTTCACTACTTGACCTAATGGACTGTCATGCTTCGAATATTGCTATCTACTGAATCTTTGTGCTACTGTTGTGTGCTATTTCCTCTTGCCAACAGGCCTAGCCTCACATGTATAGTGTTTATGCACCCTATTTATATGCTGAGTCTCCTTCTCTGACTAATTTTCAAACTCGTGACTAAGTTTAAACTTTTCCTTTGTGAGATTCTGATTTCACTCGCCTATTAAGGTTAATTGATTTCTTTCCTGTTTTGCCTTACAGATTCCTTTCCAAAATTAGAGTATCTATGTACCTAGACTCGAATTGCTTACTTGTTGTTTTATTACCTCTTTTATGGCAACTGTCAGTCTGCTTTTTAATTGATTGCTTTCCTTATTTTGAACCTGTCACTGCCCGTTAAGCAAGTAAGGGCAATCACTTGTATAATTGATTCTGAATCATGATTGTTTCCATGTTTGTAGCTTATTACCTCTTTCTTACTCGTTTTCAAAAACTATAAATACCCGGTACTTCTTCTCTTTAAAAATACGAACACTTTTAATTCTGAACTCACACTTACACTCAAACACTCTCTTTTGCTTTACTACTACTTGTGCTACTGCCTGTTTAGTCGGCTGAAAGCCAAGGCTATATTTCGAATTCCTACTACTTTTCTTTAATGCACTTTTCTTCTTTGACTGATATGTTCTAATTAAGTTTTCAGCATCAGCAACAACATGCTTACTTAATGTTCTTGCATTCTTGTCTGCCTACTGCTTGTATTTAATTCAGTACCATTATTTAGCATGCTGTAATTTCCTTTCTCCTGTTCTGAATCAATGTATTATGAATCTCAAATCTCTACCCCAATGTGATTAATACTTGTAGTTAGTTTGGGGCATGACAACATTGAACATTGCTGAGCATGACCCAAACTTGATCCTCCTAGGAACATAACCCCTATGTTTCCCTTATATGTTGTGTGCTCTGGTTAATTTACAAGCATGACAACACTCCCTATTGTTGTACATGCCCAAAGTTAACCCATGCCTAAGTATATAGGCTTCTTGCAATGGATTCCCAATCCCATGCCCCTTTATGTGAAGTTATCAACTCTTTGAAGTGTTAATGACTGTCTCCCATTACCCTTTTCTTCTCCTTTATTCCCTTATCTCTTAAAACTCAGTTTCTGCACTTTTCACTCTCTTCTTAAACTTAATTTCTGCCCCCTCATGTAAGCCTTGCCTTGGGACCCATGAGCTCCCTCTGAACTTGGACACATGAGGGTTGACATTTTTACACTGCACTTGTCCCTATTCTGGTTATGAAACTTGGGTGTGAGCACTGCTCGGGGTCCTATTGAGGCCTTTAGGGAACTCTAACACACTCAAGTCTAAGAAAGGCTTTGGATCGATGGTATTTTGAGTTGGTTTATCTCATAACTCAAAGAGGAAGTCAAGAATCAGGCTTCCTCTAGTTGTAATTTGTTTTGTACTTTTTCTGATATAATTTATTATTGTTGGTTTGTAATAATTTGTAATGAACATTTAGCGCTGGCTAGTGAAAAAAGGGTTGGAAAATTATGCATGCTCAAGGGTAGAAAACATGCCTATAGGACTGCATTCTCTACTTGTTCAATTCGCATTTGGAAAACATGCCTATAGGGCTGCTATAATTCTGCATATTCATACTACATTTAGAAACCATGTCTATAGGACTCACTTGTTCGATTCTCATCTAGATAACATGCACATTGGGATTATCTAAAATTTTGCACATTTGTCACAGTTTATATATCATGTTTTTTAGGGTCCAATTGGTTATAACCCAGTAGCATGCTAAATCAGTAACATATAGAAATCATGCCTATCGGGGTTCTTAAGAAAAATTCTGTTCGTTTCGACTCACATGCAATGTTAGGTATCATGTCTATAAGGGTCTAAAATCAGTAACGCATAGAAATCATACCTATAGAGATTCTTAAAAAAAATTGAGTCGTTCCTTCCACATTCAAATATCGTGCTCATGTGAATTAAAATCAATAATAGTAGATACCATCACCTGCAGAATCTGGAACTGGTCTAAATTAAATTCATCTATTCTGAACCTCCGTTTAATAATTCCCTTATTTTCAACAAGGTTTAGCAAGCATGCCTATAGGATTTCAAGCAGTACGTTTTGAGTTATCACTGTCTCACCACCTTCTAAATTAAGTAGATATCATGCCTATAGGACCCCGTCTAAACACTTAGGCAAACCTTAGAGTAATAATTGTAAAACTGAATCTGTTTTTTGTTAAATGCTACAACTAGCAGGCAGGCCTGATTCAGACTTCTTATCTGAGTTATTTAATAAACTAATCTGCCTCAATAATTAACTTCCTTCATCTTTATATGCTTTAATCAGACCTAAAAAGTATGTGCAAGTCATGCTAGTTATGTGCTTTTGTTTGAGGAGGTATACTTGAGCCTTATGTGTTTATGTGTTTCCCCTATAATGTGCCATCTTTTATATGTTTTGTATGCCACCTTAGATTTTTACTTTTGAAACTTCAAGTCAGCCTAATACCCCTCCCCTTTAGGATTAGTAGTCCTAAATTCACAACAACTGCCTGGCCAGGAACCACACTAGTGGATCCTGAAGGGTGCCTAACACCTTCCCCTTGGGATAATTTCAAGCTCTTACCCAATCTCTGGTTACCCAAACAAACTTAGAATTGAATCTCTATTAGTGTCCTAATGCACCTTAACTCATTAGGTGGAGACTCTTCAAATGCAAAAACCCAGTTCCCAAAAGGAACGAGTTGTCCTTCTAAATATCATAAACCCGATTTCGCGAGAAAAAGGGGGTGCGACAGCATGGCAACTCAAAAAGGTTTGGATTCGAAGAAGTTCGTGAAGAAGCCTTTCCCACCAAGCGCGACTCTAAAGCCGATTCCGAAGAAATTTTGCATGCCAGAAATTCACAAATACAATAGAACCAGTGATCCTAATGAATATGTCACTTCTTATACATGCGCTATAAAAGGAACTGACTTAGAAGACGATGAAATCGAATCTGTTCTGTTAAAAAAAAATTGAGAAACTTTATCGAACGGGGCGATGATACGGTACCACAATTTGCCACCTAATTCCATCGATTCTTTTGCCATGCTTGCCGATTCGTTCGTAAAAGCACATGAAGTAGCAATAAAGGTCGTGACTAGGAGGTCGGACCTCTTCAAAGTGTGACAAAAGGACGATGAAATGCTAAGGAAATTCGTATCTCGATTTTAGATGGTACGGATGGACCTACCCCCGGTTACCGATGATTGTCTATCCAAGACTTTACTCAGGATTTGAACGAGCGAAGTTCAGTGGCGTCACGTCAACTAAAGCAAAATTTGATCGAATATCCAGCGGTGACCTGGGCCGATGTGTATAACTGATACTAGTCAAAGATTAGAGTCGAGGATGATCAGTTGTAATCCCTTTCAGTTCAGTCTACCCAAATAGATCCAAAGTCAGGATTCAAAGAGACATCGACAGGGAGCCCCTATCGAACAGAGATCGGTACCAACCATATAGCACAAAGTAGAAACAACGGATCAGGATGTAATCTTGTTCGAAATGATCGAGGTCAAAATTCCCGAAGGCCCATGAGTAAGAGTGGCTTCGATAAACATGTCGAGCCTAAAGAAGCGCCACGTTTATCGGAATACAACTTCAGCATCGATGCTTCAGGAATTCTGTCAGCCATTGGGCGAATCAAAGATACTAGGTGGCCCAGATCCCTACAGACCAACCCATCTCAAAGGAATCCAAATCAAATGTGCAAGTACCCTGGAACCTATGGTCACAGAACCGAAGACTGTAGACAGTTAAGGGAGGAAGTAGCTTGTTTACTCAAAGAGGATCACCTTCGAGAGTTCTTGAGTGACCGAGCTAAAAATCACTTCAAAGATAGGGACACAAACAGAAAAAACGAATAGGAAGAATCGCAACATGTGATTCATATGATCGTCAGTGGGGTTGATATTCCTCAAGGCCCGATATTCAAATGCACCAAGGTGACAATTACAAGGGAAAAGCGTACCCGGGATTATTTACCAGAGGATACCTTATCTTTCAACGATGAGGACGCAGAAGGAATCGGACAACCTCAAAATGATGCCCTGGTAATATCTATCCTTATAAATAAAATTCAAGTTAAACTTGTGTTAGTTGACCTAGGTATCTCGGAAAATATCATCCGATCGAGGGTCGTGGAGCAACTCAGCCTCCAGGATCAAATCGTGTCTGCAGCTCGGGTGCTCAACGGTTTCAACATGGCAAGTGAAACCACCAAAGGGGAAATCATGTTGCCAGTAAACATGGTCGGAACTATCCAGGAAACAAAATTTCATGTAATCGAAGGTGATATGAGATACAACGTGCTTCTCGGGAGACCTTGGATCCATAATATGAGGGCGGTACCTTCAATGCTTCATCAGGTCTTGAAATTCCCAACATCGGAAGGAGTCAAAATGGTGTACGGCGAACAACCAGCAGCCAAAGAGATATTTGCGATTGATGAGGTAATTCCAGTATCGACACTAACATCAACAAAGGGACCAGAATCAATGGAAAAGCAAGAAGTCAAATAGCAACCACAGTCGTCGGCCTCGACCAGATCAGAACATTACGGAACTTTCGAGGATGATGATTATGCGATACCTCGAACCTTAATAATTCCCGATGATTCTGATGCAGCGAAGTCAACGGTCAAAGAGTTGGAACAAGTCATACTAATCGAGCATCTGCCCGATCAAAAGGTATACCTAGGCACGGGGTTGACTCCCGAGCTCAGGGAAAAACTCATTAAATCCTTATTAAAAATATGGATTGTTTTGCTTGGCCCCACCTTGACATGACATGGATCCCACCAGAGATTACCACTCATCGATTGAGTTTGGACCCAAAGTTCAGATCGGTAAAGGAAAAGTGAAGACCGCAGTCCGAGGTAAAGCATGCATTTATCAAGGATGAGGTAACTAAACTTCTCAAAATTGGGTCCATCCGGGAAGTAAAGTATCCTGAATGGTTAGCAAACGTAGTCATAGTCCCCAAGAAGGGGAATAAACTTAGAATGTGCGTAGACTACAAGGACTAAAACAAAGCATGCCCTAAGGACTCTTTTCCTCTACTGAATATCGATCGCATGATCGATGCCACGGCCGGCCATGAGATCCTCAGTTTTCTCGATGCCTACTCTGGGTACAACCAAATACAAATGAACCCGGAGGATCAAGAAAAGACTTCGTTTATTACTAAGTATGGTACTTATTGCTATAATGTAATGCCATTTGGGCTAAAAAATACTGGTGCCACTTATCAACGCTTAGTAAACCGAATGTTTGAAGAACAAATAGGTAAATCAATGGAGGTTCATATTGATGACAAGGTAGTTAAGTCCCTACACGTAGAGGACCATTTGACACATTTGCAGGAAACCTTCAACATATTAAGACAGTACAACATGAAGCTCAACCCCGAAAAATGTGCATTCGGGGTCGGTTCAGGCAAGTTCCTCAACTTTATGGTGTCAGATTGGGGAATCGAGATCAATCCCGATAAAATCAAGGCAATCAAAGACATCACAGTCGTGGACAGTGTTAAGGCCATACAAAGATTAACAAGGCGGATAGCCGCTTTAGGCAGGTTCATCTTGAGGTCTTCGGATCGAAGTCACAGGTTCTTCTCACTGCTCAAAAAGAAGAACAATTTCACTTGGACCCCGAAATGCCAACAGTCATTGGAAGAACTAAAGCGGTATCTTTCGAGCCCGCCATTGCTTCATACTCCAAAAGCGGACGATCAACTCTACTTGTATTTGGCAGTCTCAGAAGTTGCGGTAAGTAGTGTCCTAGTTCGAGAAGAGCAAGGTACACAATTTCCTGTTTACTATGTTAGCCGAACTTTAGGCGAAGTTGAGACCCGGTACCCACACTTAGAAAAATTAGCACTTGCTCTAATAAACGCCTCTAGGAAACTAAAATTGTATTTTCAATGTCACCCAATTTGTGTCGTAACCACTTATCCCCTTCGTAATATTTTTCACAAGCCCGAACTCTCGGTCTGATTGGCCAAATGGGCCGTCGAAATTAGTGGGTACGATATTGAGTATCAACCCCGAATGGCCATCAAGTCTCAAATCTTACAAGACTTCGTGGTCGACTTCACGCCAGCCCTCGTACCCGAGGTCAAAAAGGAATTTTGGATAAAAACGGGTACGTCTTCGGGAGTGTGGACCCTTTTCACAAATGGTGCTTCAAATGTGAAGGGGTCCGGTCTAGACATCATTTTGAAGCCACCCACAGGAAATACAATTAGACAATCTATCAAAACCCTTAAGTTTACTAACAATGAGGCCGAGTACGAGGCCATGATTGCAAGTCTCGATCTGGATAAAAGCTTGGGAGTAGAGGTCATCGAGGCCAAGTGTGATTCCCTACTTGTGGTTAACCAAGCCAACAAGACCTTCGAGGTTCGAGAGGACCAAATGCAGAGTATTTGGACAAACTGCAGGTGACCCTACACCGGTTCAAAGAATGGAGCCTATAGCATGTACCTCGAGAGCAGAATAGTGAGGCCGATGCCCTTGCAAATTTGGGGTCATCGATCAAAGACGGTGAAATTAGCTCGGGGGCTGTCGTGCAACTTTTGAAGTCAGTAGTCGAAGAAGATCATGCCGAAATAAACTCCACAAGATTAACTTGGGATTGGAGGAACAAATACATCGAGTATCTAAAGAACGAGAAGCTTCCATCGGACCCTAAGGAATCAAGGACTCTATGAACGAAAGCTGCACGATTCACATTGGCCGAAGATGGAACGTTGTATAGATCGTAAGTATGAAATTGTAAAGTAGAAATTTCACTAAGGCATGGAAAATTTGGTAGGGAAAAGATACTTCTTTCAATAGATCGTTCATGCATACATGTTTTGACATTAGGGCTCGAGTAACCTACACGGGCACGGTTCATTCGACCATTTGGCCCTTTACAAAATTTACCTATCGAGACCCTATCGACACGAAGTATATTCCTTAAAAACATAACATCCGAGGGTGATTCCCCCCAGTATTCGAGGTTGATTGTAGAGAAGCCTCGGATACTATTGAATTACTCTAAGTTAGCTCGAACAATGGTTGCCTCGTTAAAAACCTTGCCGGAAAAACCCATTTGGGAAAAAAACTGGTCGAAGGGAAAAAGAGTGCAACGTATGCTTTCAGACCTAAGGACTTCGTTTTTGGAGAGAACTTCGATGTCTTCGACCAAGCACCAACAATAAGTTAGTATAAAATATAAATGTAAAAGGGAGAAAACTATACCTTAGCAATAATATCTCTTGAGGAGTGATATGTTCCAATTATTTGGCAATTGTTCGCCGTTTATCATGCCAAGTTTATAAGACCCTTTTCCAACGATGACGAGGACCTGATATGGTCCTTCCCCATTTGGACTGAGTTTTCCCTCGTTTGCGGTATGTTTGGGTCCGGGATATACCGACTACGTCCAATGAGAAATTCACGAGGTTACTTGCGGGAACCATTCCGGTGCCGAATCACTGGTTCACAAGGTCATCCGAGCAGGGTATTATTGGGTCAATATGAAAAAAAATACTAATGAGTTCGTTTGAAAATGCGACAAATGCCAAAGACATGCACCGATGATCTACTAGTCCGGGGAACAACTTCATTTTGGCTTATCCTCATGGCCATTCATGAAATGGGAAATGGATATCATTGGCCCTCTTCCATCAGTCCTAGGTAAATCTAAATTCATTTTATTTATGACTGACTAATTCATTAAGTGGGTTGAAGCACAGGCCTTTGAGAAAGTAAGAGAAAAAGAAGTCATAGACTTCATTTGGGACCACATCATATGCCGATTCGGGATACCCACCGAGATCGTATGCGACAATGGAAAGCAATTCGTCAGCAACAAAATAACAAAGTTCCTCGAATATACAAGATAAAAAGGATCCGGTCGACGCCATATCATCCTAGCGGAACGGACAGGCCGTATCGACAAACAAGACCATCATTCAGAACCTAAAGAAAAGATTGAACGACGCTAAGGGGGAAATAGAGAGAAATTTTTCCCGAAGTCCATTGGGCATATCGGACAGTGATAAAATCTAGCATGGGGGCAATGCCATTCTCCTTAGTATTTGGTGTTGAAGTTCTGATCCCGGTCGAAGTCGGGGAACCAAGCGTCAGGTTTCGATACTGTCGATGCCCCCTTTTTCTCTAACCGTGGGGTCAGAAATCGGGTATACGACATTGGGAGGACAACTCTATTCCCTTTCTAGAATTGGGTTTAGATGTTGAAGAGTCGCCACCTAATGATTATAGTGCATTAGGACACTTTAAGAAGGGTTTGAGATGAAGAGACCAGAGATTAGGGTAAGGGCTAGAAATTATCCCGAGGGGAAGGTGTTAGGCACCCCTCAAGATCCACTAGTGTGGTTCCCGGCCATGTTGCAATTGTGACTTTACAAGTAAACAATCAAGGCTCAAATAAGGATTCGCACATAAGATTGCGACCAAGTTGAAAATTTTCAAATATAAGTAGAGAAGGCAGAAATTCATGAAAAAGAGATTTGAACAGTTTTAGAAGAAGGGATGAAAGCAAGTAAAGGGAGAGGAGTCCTAAGTTTATAATTAATATGGATCACTTCAATACAATACCCAGCGATCACTCCTCAGAAGAGGGGTCGCGCGTGATATTAGCACATCGGTCATCATATCCATATCTACCCTTCCCACCCTGTTAAGGTATTTAAACGCGATCAGTCTCATTTACTTATTGCATGCTAGTACCTGTCCCAACCTATCAGTCCCGGAGTATCAAGACTTCTAATCCTATAGGGGAAGGAAAGGGATATAGGCATATATGGGGTTCAAAGGTTAAAATTCTAATTGCGACATACAAAACAAGTAACAAATATAAGGATGAACAAAACAAATATGTAAGGCTCAAGTAAACCCCTTAACCAAACAAACACTTAGTTTAGCATGTCTTAGCATATACTGATTTGGTCTTAAGTGAAAACATTAAGCGGCGAGCGGACTGGTTCAACACATACATTTAGACAGAAAGTCTGCATTAGGCAACTCGGATACAATTGTCAGAGATTATGGCACTTAATTAACACGAGTGGGATTACTGATTCTTTTGAAAATAGACAGAAAAGTTTTGAAAAAAAGGCAAGCCGCAGACTTAACAAAACGACGTAGAATAGTTCCCAGAAGACAAACCATTGAATTGCGGATTAGTATAGAAAGAGCAATTTTAAACAAGTTTCAAAAGAGGCAGATTGTTTAAGGAGAAAACGAGTTCGAGCTGCAGAACTTATTAAAAAATGATAAAATACAGAAAAGTGATATGTAACTGAGTTGGAAATCGTTCATCAAACTACCAGAAAAGGCAGTAAGTTTCAGAAAGCATGCAAGTTTACTAGAAGATTAGGTTTTAGAAAGAGTTGAACTAATCTGAGAAGAGGCTCAATGGTTCGGAGAACCACTGGCTTTTGTCCGTTAGTCAGTGAAATCGTTACTACTTTTAGACGAGTGAGGCAAGTTTGATTTTAAAAACTTCCT